CTCCTCATTTTCTTTGATTTATTCTTCTTGTTGTGCTCTTGATTTTGCCCTCAAAATACCAAGAAAAAGAAAAGGAAAAAGAAGAAAAGAAGAAACTGAGAAAAGAAAAGAAAAAAAAACAAAGAAAAATAAAAGGCAAAAGACGTCCAGCAGAAACTAAAAATTCAAAACTGTTGAAGAAAGAGTCCAATGGCCTGTTCGGTACAATTTAAAATCTAATTAAAATTGAAAATATGGTCGTTATTGGGTCTCACTCGTCTAATAAAAGTCAACAATAACGGTTAATTTTTCAATTTTAATCCAATTTTAATCTCTATCGAACAAGCCCCAAGTGATGGCTTTAAAATCAAAACCTAGTGAAAATTGCGACATTGGCCCCTGAGTTTTCAAAAAATAATTAAAATGATCCACAAGGTTGTGAATTTTCTAAATATTGCAGTCCAGCCCTACGGTAATTACATATCAGGTCCCCACACTATGAATTTGTACAATATGATCCTCAAATTTTGATATATATATCAATTTCGCCCTCCATAAATTGCATCATGAGTCCTCCAACTTTCTGGCCTTGATCATTTTGGTCCCCAACTAGAATTAGGAAACCAGATTTCTCGCGGCAGAAGACAACAATGCGGCCGCATTGTTACGAGCCATGCGACTGCATGGTTCATAGAGATGAGCCACTGGAGGTCCCTGCAAGGTGTTCGCTAAATTATTATACCGCAAGTGTATGAGTCGCGTTCAATTAATAAAGTGGGCTTTTTGAGTTCAGATTGTTGATCCCTCGACGAATGCTTACTTTTAATTACACAACTTTAGCCAATTTAATTTTATCAACAAGAACAAATACACAATAAAATTTGATTTCGGAAATTATGAGAAGTTGACTAAAAATCTACAAAATAAGAAAACGTAAACACTTAGAAAGTTTGGAGAGAAATTAACCGTTTTCTTATTTTGTAGATTTCCCAAATTTAGTTAATTACCTCTCTCGAGCGAAATTAACCCTAATTAATTGATTAAACCTAGTATATCTTTATGTCGATTCAAACCAAACAATCGCATTAAATATTTGTGAAAATAGCTCATTGGGTCACCTAGGACTAGTGGCATATCTTATCCACTAAATAAACCTAGGGTTTTTACTGTTTAGTCTAAAATGTATAATCTTCTTTCGAACGATATACAAATCACTAAACTCATTCATTTAAT